GGCCACACTGGTCTCTGCCCCGTCTTGTGTCTCAATGAAGAGCAGCTTGTTCCTCTGGATGTTCTCAAGGATGCCCTGGGGGGACAGGGAGGTCAGGGCACAGGACCACGTGCTCCTGTTTCCAGCCCCGCTGCTGTGGCCTTCCGTGGAGATCCTTCTCTGGGCCCTCAGCAGTCCAACCTCTTTGGCAGTCCAAAGTGGGGAGCTGATCCCCACCCAAGAAGGTGGGCACGGGGCCTAAAGTGGCCAGTGGAGGTGGAGGGCCTGACCGTAATCCAGGCAAGGACCACACCCAGGGGTTATCCCGAGAGTTCAAATCTGTCACTGTAATGACTGAGACAAAAGTCAGGCTGCCCACTAGGACAAGATACAGGGTCCTGGCCGGGTGGCGGCGGCGCACGCCTTTAATCGCAGCACTCGGGAGGCAGAGGCCTCACCCACACACAAGCTCCTAGAGTGGAACCTTAAGCTCACAACACCGTCCCCCTGGCACCAGGCCTGCTTGCTGGGGATGTAGTCTGCAGTAACCCCAATGGTGGTCCTCTCTGGTCAAGGGAAACACTGATGAGCCTGCAGGGTCTGTTAGCACAGGCATCTTGTCCTGTGACATGTGTCATGGTGGAAACATGGGGAGTGAAGCCCCCACAGGAAGAGCAGAGCTGAGGGTTTGGGTGGTGGGGACTAGGCATACCTGCTCATACCAGGAGGCCACGGTGCTTTCCATGTATTGGTAGCTGGTAAAGAAGGCCACAATGCCGTCGGGGACCACAGCAGACATCTCCAGCAGGAGGTTGCCGTAGTTGCGGATTACAGCTAGGGAGAGGGGATTGGAGACTGGATCCTCTCCTGCTGCTCACTGAGGCTAGTTATCCAGTTCCTTCCTCCCAAGCCACCCAGAGACATGCCACAGCACAAGAAATACATAGAGGTGGCGGTGTCTCTTCTAGATGACACTCAGAAGCCAGTGCCCACTGTTCCAAAGGCCCTGTGCTGGTGCTACGGCTCAGTGGTGCCTGGTGGCACAGCTTCCAAAGTGAAGAGACCCAGGGTGGGCTCAACCCACAGTGGGCCTGTGTCCGCCACAGAGGCTGGTTGTGTGTGTGTGTGTGTGTTATGGTAGCAAGTCCTTGTCCACCTGTAACCCACCCCAACCAAGCCCACACAGGTGACTCACCAATATCTTCCCTGGTCTCAAATTTGGAGCTGATGGCCACCTGGTCATTACCACGGCCAATGATCTGAAACAGAGTGAAGGTTCTGTGATACACCTGACAAATGTCTCCTTTTTTGACTTAGTGTCTCATGTAGCCCAGGCTGGCCTTTAGACGCGAGCCTCACTGAGGCTACCTACCCTCCCAAACCCATGAGAAGCTGTTTCCCCAACCTCTGAAGTTCCATGAAGTCCTGGTCCTCCTGCCCACTTCCCAAGATCACAGGCCTGCATTACCACAGCTAGCTAGCACAGGCACTTCCATGTATTAGGTGAGCACTGTACCAAATAAGGCCCGAGCTCAGGAAAGCGTCATGTAGACATAGACAGTGGCCCTAAGCCTATGGCTGCAACTGCTTGGGCCAATGCCCTGCAACAGGTCCCAGGGCAGGGACCTCTGCTTCTAGGCAAGGCTACACTCCAGCCTTAGGTAGTTTCAGAACACAGGTCACCCAAAACACACACCCCATTAGCCTCCCTCCCCAGTCCACCATGCCAGTGAATGGTCAGAGGGAACATTCCAAAAAGCCCACAGCTCTGAAAACAACCGTCTAACTAACCCCTGCTGCCGAGAGCAGGCCTGCAGACAGGCTGTACACAGCTCGTGCTCCACAAGCATGCAAGCAGGCTACAAACCTTGCGTAAGGTTTAAAGTGTTTCTGATGTGCCAAACAGCATCCCCAGCCACAGCTGGCTTCATGTGGCCCATGGACTGTGGGGTGAATATGTCTAACAGCCGGCCACACTCTAAACTCCAAAACAGAGGCAGGCTCATTATCCAAGTCACAGCTGGATGACAAATGGCACACTCACCCTGACCTATACGGTGATAAAGCACCAGGCCTGCTCCCTGAGCACTATGGTCCAGGTTGCTGGGAAGAGACCCTTCCAGGCACCATTTGGTGGCTTGGTGCTCCCATGGGTCTCACCCACTCACCATTGGGCAGAGGCAGACTCGGGCCAGTGTCATGGTGAAGGTTGCCATGGTGACGGGGTGGAAGTCCAGGATCTTGGGGTAGATGTCCAGTGGGGACAGTGTCTGCAAGAGACAGCAAGGAGGACCTCAGCAGACTGGGGCAGGGACCAGGGCCCCCATGGAACAACAGCACAGAGTCCTCACCCCAGAGGTGATGATGACAGACTGGAAGCGCTCAAACACAGGCTTGATGGCCAAGGAGGCGTCCATACAACTGTGGGATAACACAGTCGTCACCCAGGGCAGAGGCCGGGGGCGAAGCCATCCTGTCCACACAGGCTTGCATCTCACCTGAAGTGCAGGATGGGGTTGGCAATGGTCGGGGTCCTGTCATCAAAGGGCTCGATGATAATGGTGAAGCCTGGGGAGGAGGAGGCCGGTGAGTGTGCACGACAGCCCCCGCCTGCCCCTGCCCCTGCCATGGCTAGCGCAGGACAGGACTGTACAAATGCTCAGGTGTGGAAGCAGGGTGAGCCAGGGCTTCACTGCACGGCCCCGCAGGGAGGCCAGGCCCGCCCTCCCCCCCCCCCGCCCCCCCCCCCCCCCCCCCCCCCCCCCTCTCCC